AGATGTGGGAAGGGAAAGGAGGAGGAGAAGTGAGAGGGCGTAGGCGAGGAGAGGGGAGAGGAGGAAAGGAGGAGAGGGGGGATAGATGGAGAAGAAGGAACTTTCTTCCCTCTCTTGTTTACTTTTCTCTTTCCCTTCCCCCTCCCTCTCCCCACTTCTCTCGCCCGCGTCCACAACTTATTTTCTTTCTTTCTTTGTCCTCTCTCTTTCTCTCTTCTCTTTTCTTCCTCCTCTATCCTCTTCTCCCTCTATACCTGTCTTTCTCCCCTAATCGCATTACCAACTTTATTTTTCTGTCTCTGTCCCATTCCCCTTTTCCTACCTCCTCCCTCTTCACTTTCCTCCTTTCTCTTCTCCCTCCTTTTTCTCTTACACTCCCTCTCTCCTATGCCTCCCTTTCTCCGTCTCTCCTTCTCCACTCCATCCCTCTTCCTTTCTCCCCTCTATCCCTTCCCCCTCTCATTTTCCTCTTTCACTCCCTCCTCATCTTGCTCCTTCTCTCCTCCTCCATCCCTTCCTCTCCTCTCCTTCCCTCCTCTTCTCTCTCCCCCCCCACTATCTCTTTCCCTGCTCCATCCCCCTCCTCCCCTTCGCTCCTCTCTCCCCCTCTACCTCCCTCTCTTTCTCTCCCTCCCCCCTCCCCGTCCCTCCCCGCCCTGTCCCTTGAGTGGCTAATTAACAATTTATTGGCCAGCCGGTTCGGTCTCTGCTCTACCGTGTGCTCTTACCCCGTGTCCACCTTTCCCAATTTCTTTCTCCTTCCTTTCCTTGTGATTTTACTTCTGCTTGCTTTTATTGAACGCGGCTCTTGCCCTGTTTTCCCTCTGGTGGCATGTTTATCGGCGCTGCTCACTGGTTCCTGCTTTAACCCCCCCCCTCCGCGCGCTTTTATTTATGGCTAATTTTTGTGTCCCCTTCTGTCTCCTTCTCCTGATGTTTTTCCTTTGGCTTGCTTCCGGTCTTGGGTCCTTTTCTGTTCGTAATGCTTACCGTTTTCTTTTTTTGGGGAGGACATATATTTCACTGATTTGGATTGCTCTGTTTTGCTAACGTTCCATTCTTATCTTTCTTTCTTTCCTAAATTCTATTTTTCTTGTGTTACTCCTTTGTTGCTTCTAATCCCTTATTTATCTTTCTATCTATCTCTCTCTTTTCCCTTTCTTATCCTCCACTCTCTCTCTCCTTCTCTCTGATCTTTATGTCATCTTATATATATGTATATATATTGTCATTTTTTTCTGTATCAGTTATCCCACCCATTTTCTATGAAAGAGAATCTGAAAAGAAGATATCTGTCTGCATTTATATCCATACATATACTTATATACATCATATACTTCATGTAATACTTATTTGCATCTGAAAATGTAAATACATCCTATTCCAAACATAGCAGGCATAATCATTTATCCTTTTCTTTTAAAGATCCAAACTTGAATATGATTTTTTTTCTCGATTGACTTGATTGATTGTGTACATTCTAGTCATGGACAAGTAGATGATGACACAAGCTGAAAAATGCTTTTATTTTGTATTTATTTATTATTTCTTTGAAGCTGTGAATAATTTCCCTTCATCCTCTAATATTTGAGGTTACTTACGTGGAGAAAAGAACACCCACAGTTGTCTCGCAACTTACAGGTGTCTCAACTTACAGATGTCAACACTGACAGCGTAACCGTCCAGCATCTGTTCTCAGTCAATCATAGTAAGTTAGTTCTCTTTTTTTAATAGTTTAGATTTGGCATATAAGCAGAAGCGAAGGCCAAGGGTGTGTAGAGACCGGACACTACTAGATGGAATGGTGATGTGTCAGTGTGGTGATTGTGTGGTATCTTTGTCCTTGTTTGCTGTGGTTTGCTGTGGTGAGTTATGGTGCGTTGTGGCATATGTGTTATGGTGTGTTATTCGAGTTAGTTTGTGTTATCAGGCGTGTTATATTGTATTCTGTGTGTGTGTGTGCGTTTGTGTGTGTTGTATCGTGTGTTAGTTTGTGTATTCATGTTTGTTATATTGTATCATGTGTATGTGTTGTATCGTGTGTTAGACTATATGTATCTTGCATTGTATTGCCCGTGTTAGCTCGTGTTTATGTACATGGGTTGTGTTGCACTGTGTGTTTTAGTCTGTATTCATGTATATGTGATGTATTACATATATGTGTATTCATGTTAAAGTCTTGTGTTGTATAGAGTAAACGTAATTTTATATATATGTGATACTATATATGTGATACGGTAAATAATTGTTTTGTGGGCGTGTTAGCGTGTTGGTGTTCATATAGGTTGCTATGTTCATTAGTGACTATGCGTGCTAGCCTGTGCTTTTGTGCATTCTGTGTGCTAGTGCTTTTGAGTGCATGTCTTTGTGCATACATATTAATGCATACACATGTGTACATCATTAGCGTGTGGAAGTATCTTGTGGGTGTTAGACTGTATTAGTAAATGAGTGAATGATTGTGTCAGTGTATTTTTTTTCTTCTTTTTTTAAAACTGACAACTCCTTCTTTTAGCCTCGAAGAAGCGTGTATCGTTTGAGATTGTAAAGGAGATGGGAGGGACCGGGAGAGGTTTGGAATAATATTAATAAAAGGGATTGATGATGACACATAAACAATGATTACAAGATGTGGAAGACTTTGATAAATAAGGGAAGTGAAGAAGACGAAGGTAAGGAGCAGATAGAAGAGCCTGTTGAGCGAATAGAAAGCAGTTAGAACATGCACAACTTCATCATAATTATTTAGCATAGAAGCCATCATTTCTTTTTTTGATTTACATGCAACAAAAAACTTCAATTCTTATTTATGATTAAAATACCTAAGGTATGCAAAACTCAATATCTTTTTTGTTTGTTTGTTCTTCTTTCAAATGTTGATTAATTAACTTGAAACTAATATGAGTTTATATAAAAGCATAAGAGTAAAAAAAACAGGGAGTTATCAATACCGATCTGAAGTGGAGGGGCGGTCAGTTGCGTGTTTTTTTTTTTTTTTTTTTTTTTTTTTTTTCGTCCAACTTTAATATGGACTTGGTTTGCCACCCCGCTGCCGAAACCTTTTTTCGTTCACAGATCATTTTTCTTGATCTTCATTCCGGCAAGTAATAGGGGAAGGGCACGCCAAGATTTTAAGTAAGAACAGAATCACATTGAAACTGATTAGCCGCGTCATGTTTTTTTTTTTGTTTTGTTTTTTTTTTTTTTTCGATTTTTTTCTCCCTTTTTTGGCAGTTATATATATATATTTTTTGGGTCGACCGCGACGGCGCATTATTATTTTTTAAATGTGAAAAAGAATTGTTTATTGATTATTAGAATAACTGATTTGATTGAATTTTTGAGAAAGAATTGTGCAACTACCTACAAGATCATGCAGATTTAGAAACTAAAAATGGTTTAAAAGGTTTAAAATTCTCCGAATCACCACATAATTATCGTTATATTATTTTTTTTTTTATTACAAGAAGGCGAAATTTTAAGTGTTTTATAACTCTATCTTATTATTTGGACCTCATTTTTGTTTTATTTTTCGCATTTTTAATGTATTTTGTAGATTGACACGAGCCTTGAGCTAAATCACTCTTAACCACGTCACTCTGAGCAATCTAAGCAAGTGATTAATGCCTGTAATTTAGCAATTGAAGGCAATTATCACCAGTCTGAGTGACCTCTTCAAGATTAAAAAAAAAAAATTATCATTATTTTTTTTTTTTTTTTTTTTTTTTTTTTTTTTGACTCGTTGGTCGCGTACTCATCAGCCTCAATTTTCTTTTTCTGTTCTGTCTCAAACCTTTTCCTTAATATCAGTGCCGCTTCCAATATTACTTTAGTATCATGTTTCTCTTCTTCGTTCTGTTTTGTTTAATCGGACGCTCTGTACTTTTTTAAAGACCAGCCGAGACACGCAACTATGAGCTTTAGGTGTCTTGGTCAGGCTTAATGACCTTGATTTAATTAATTATAGCAGAAGAGATGATTAAGAAGAGCATTAGTGACTACCAACGCTTGTAATTATGTGCCTCGACAGACTTCTTATTATTAACTTTTTCTTCTTAATTTTCTTCTTTTCATTTTTCTTCATTTTTTTAAAGACAGATGGAAAAGCATCAAGTATTTTTCAATAAAGGAAAGAGTTTTAAATTCACAGATATTTTTGATTTAGTGATGATGACCAGATGAGGTGTGTGAAACCATAGAGAGTTAGAATTAGACAAGAACATCAAAACATCGAACTAGACTACAAACACTTATATATCAACAGATTTCAACCGTGTATATATATAGATAAGATATGAAAATACTTAAAAAAAAAAAAAAAAAAAATCTGATACCAATGTGAGCCGTGACTAACGCCTCCTCAGATATTACGTTTCCAAATAATACTTAGAACTTTCAACAACAATGCAAATGCAATATGTGAGGAGAGGTTACCCAAGTCTCGCCAGATATCAGTCTTCATTTTTGTATTTGCTGTGATCTCATATTTGTTATTTTATTTTATCTTATGTAATAATTTCATCCTCTTTGTGAATTGGATATCATTTGATAATTGACTTTTGAAGATTCACTTTTTTTTTGAATTGGAGGGAAAGGGGGACACAAAGATTGACTTGCAATGTGATCAACAACAATGTGAAACTATACCAAAGTCAAATAGCAGAGTGCTAATGAGTGCTATTATGCAAATCACTGAGAGAAGGTGATGAAACGAGCAAAGGCAAGAGAGGACACCAATAGCTCCAAACAGCTAATCAAATCCTATTTACTCGAAATCCAACAAAACATTTCAACACTCTCTCCAAGAAAAAAAAAAAAAAAAAAAAAAATAATAATCCTGGGTTCTCGAAGACGTAGTGAATTTTGGACACATAGCACTTTTTTTTTTTTCTCTTAGTCCATTGAACAAAGTGAGACTTTAACTGTTCTCTGCCCATATGAAGGGTTGTAGGGGTGGGTGGGGGGTTGTAGAGGTGGCTATAGGCAGCGGGGTAACCTACCACGTCTATAATCTGCTGGAGTGTTATACCAAAGGACACCACCACTGGCTCACTCTCGTTCCCAACAGGTCTCTCCAGCTGATTGTAATTGTCTAGCAAGTCGTGCAGAAGACGTCGTTCATGCTCCCCACACGTCGCCTCTGCGGATGGAAGGAACTTTAGTGCTGTGGCTTCGCTATTTAGGAGGAGGAACAACATTTGGTTTATTTAAGTTTGGGTTTATTTATAGTATTTTTTTTTATTCTGTTTTGATTTTTTGATTTTTATTTTTTTTTTATACGGAGATGGGGTTTTGGGGATGCCTGTTGGATAAGAAATAAATGGTGATTAAAGGTTAATGGAGTTGTAGGTTTTTTTGTTGTGATATTTTTGTGTTTGGGTCGGGTGTGTTTGTTTGCTCTGTGTGTGTGTGTGTGTGTGTGTGTGTGTGTGTGTGTGTTGTGTGTGTGTGTTGTGTGTGCGCTGTATTATGTATGTGCGCGCATGTATGTATGTGTGTGTCCACGCGCGCGTACGTCTGTGTGCGCATGTATGTATGTATTGTATGTATATATGTATGTATATGTGTGTACGCGCATGTATGAATGTAGGTGCATGTGAGTGCATGTGGACCCAAGGATTTCCGATGAGCATAAACACCCCAAACGGACCTACATCACAGCGGTCGCCAACTCGAGAATGTTTATGTTGTCTTGAGGAAAGCCACATGGAGCTGAGAAGAGGAGGAAGGGAGGAAGTGCAGAAATATTCTTATTTCTTTTCTCTGACGATGACCTTGTGAGAAAGCTTGATAAACGAGGGGGAATAAGGAGGGAAGCAGTGATGATGATACAACAGCTATGGTATTGATAACGATGGCCAGAGTGGTAATAGTAACAATAACTATGGTGAGGATGGTAATATTGTAATTGTTATATTGGTAATAGTAGCAGCAATTCTAATTAAAGCAATGGTAACAGCATAGTAAAGATTTATTGATGATCTTCGTATTGACAGTAACATTAATAGGATGTTAAAAAAGAAATAAGTAAAAATAAATAAAAACATAAGTAATAGTTAACGACAGTATCTAACGACAACGATAATGACGACAATTTTTTAAATTAAAAAAATCTATCAACATCACGAAAATATATAAACAACGGCAAGATTATTGACAGCTTCACCCTTACATCTCATTTTCCCCTTTATTATCTTTCCCTCCCTCTATGGCAAATCTCCTCCCCCCTCATCTCCCCTGTACCTTACCCCCCCCCCCCTGCTTTTGCCCCTGGACCCCCAAACAAAACGACCCCCTGTGACTTCTCTTCCTATGTAACAGGGTCGTGGGGGAAGTCGCACCTTGGGGTAAAGTGGGAAAGGGAGGAGAACAGGATGGGGAGGGAAGGAGGAAAGGGAGAAGGGTGGGGAACAAGGAAGAGATGAAAAGAAGGAAGGGGAGATGGAGAGAAGGGAGAGGGAAATAGGATGGGGAAGGAAGGAGGAAAGGGAGAAGGGTGGGGAAGGGGTGGAAAACAAGGAAGGGGAGAAGGAAATAGCGGAGAGGAGATAGGATGGGAGGGAAGAGAGAAGGGTGGGGAATGGGTGGAGAACAAGGAAGGGGAAAAAGAGAGGACAGAAAGGGAGATAATGATGGGAAGGGAAGAAGGAAAGAGAGAAGAGTGGGAGAGGCAAGGGAGAGGGAGAGTAAAGGGAGGAAGAAGTAGGGAAGGAGACAAGAGAGGGATAGGGGTGAGGAAACCAGAGGGTGGCAGGGAGAGGGGAGTGTGGCGGGGAGAGGGGAGAGAAGGAGAGGGGAGTGTGGAAAGGGGAGAGGGAAGTGGGGAAGGAGAGCGGAATGGGAAGGAGAGGGGAGTGGGAGAAGAGAGCGTTGGGGAGAGGAGAGGAGGGGTGTGGTGGGGGGCGGGAGGGGAGAGGAGCAGGCAGGCACACAGCATCAGACCCGGGTAAACATGGGCCAATGGCATGTCCCCTTATCTCACTCTGCCACCGGTGTGTTTGTGTGTACGTGAAGTATGTATGTATGAGTGTGTGTATATGTTGTAGTATGTATGTAGGTGTGTGTAGGTAGTATGTATGTAGTATGTGTATGTAGTGTGTGCAGATGTGTATGTAGTATGTGTGTAAGTATGAAGTGTATGTAGCATGTATGTAAAGTGGTGTTGTGTGTGTGTGTGTGTGTGTTGTGTGTGTGTGTGTGTGTGTGTGTGTGTGTGTGTGTGTGTGTGTGTGTGTGTGTGTGTGTATGTATGTATGTAGGTAGTATGTATGTTGTATGTGTGTATGTAGAGTCTGTGTATGTGTTCCATGTATGTATTTTCGTGCTTGATAATGAAAATGAAAATTTCGCAACGATATTATAACATATATAAACTTGTCATTTCCCTGTGCTAAAACTCACAAATCTAACACAGTAAGGGAGAATCCGCCTATAAAATCTGCTCGTCTAACACTTCATCTCCGGGATTTTGACATTAACATCTTATCGGAGACCTTTCCTAGACTGAAGGAGAACCGGAAGGAGATCAGGATGTCTTGCAGCTGCGTGACATCATTAGGAAACGGATGTTCATTTGATCAAGTGCCTTCAGTTGCGAGGTGTATTTCCGGGAAAGTCTCTTGTGCAATCTTTTTTTTTTTTTCTAATTTGCTTGTTTCAAAGGCAAGTTGTTAAATTTGATACAAGGTCTTGTGTGACATCTTTCTAACTTGCTTTTTTCAACGGTTGTGGAGGATGAATAGTAGGTGACCGAGTTGTAGGATGTCCATTTTAAGAATATATATATTTCAGAGGTGCCCATAATTTTTGGTTTATTTTGTGGACCCTTTCTGATCTTCAATGATAATCACTCCTAACAGCTTCATTTAGAGACCAAAGAAGTCATTTTGTTTTATTACAAGATCGTTTCTGGTAAGTCCATAAATATCTTATTTTATCGGCATGCATCTTTGGGTATTCATTTGCATTCGTTTAACTTAAAGCCAAACTTGACAAACTGAAGGTTATAGCTTAACTTAGCGTTATATCGAAATTTGCAAGGGGAGATAAGTACCCTAATTTACCATATTTCGGAATACTAATGAGTCCAAGCATGTTCCTTAAGGCACACCACAGTCAACTTTGGTGAAGGAAGCTCATCTCAGCCAGTCCTTGTGAAATATAAGGGAAATTATTTTTTCGGTTGTTGTTGGTGGGATCCATGAGGTCAGTCGATGAGGGCGATCAGTGAGTAGGGTCTTTGAATGAGAGATAGGTGAGGGAGGTGAGTCTGAGGTCGAAGAGGGAGTTATTTGTTTTTTGGCTTCGGTGGGAAGGTTTCAGGGGAAGACCTCTTGGGTTAACTTTGGAGGGATGTCAGTATGAAAGTCTTTGCTTTGGGCTATGACTCTTCAGTGTTATGTGCCTTGTATGCATTCGCTATTGTTTTATTTGCTACGTTTGTTATCGCTAATTATTGCAGTTGTACAATAGCGTTTAGTTCATGGTTCATGCCTTTTGTGATTCCTTTTAGTTGAATCTATTTGCTATCTTAAATCGAATCGTCTATTTAGTTTTGTTTTTGCCTTCCATAAATACGCTTTTATCCTATTGATGAGCTCACAATCTGGACAAGTGTTACGGTCGCCCTGTGTAAGGAAGACTAAACTTTCACACAGTGCTTGGAGAAAGAAAGAAAAAAAAATCATGTATTCCCCGAGGACTTCTTGAGGTGGTGCTCGAGGTGGGAAAGACTCCCCCATGTTACTAGCACACATATTTCACGAGGCGGCCATATGGGCTGTGTCGTGCTTTGAGTGGCTCTTTTGTGGTCGAGTTATTTCCGTCAGGCATCCTGCTCCTCAAACTGTGAGACTTTGTACTTGTTTTAGTTGAAGAAGACATTCAGTGTGTTAAGGGAGGGTCGTGCTTTCAATCAGTCGTGCATTCATTCTCTTCGGGTTGATAGAAAGAATGACACTGACATTGTGCTAAAAAATTTGAAAGTGTAAACATCACCCACTTCAGGAAAATTGACTTTCTATGGCGCTTCCCTCTTTGTTCGCGTGGTAGAGAAGCTCTAGTTTTTTATGTATGTTTTTTTTTTTCTCATTTTCCCCTTTTCCTTCTGTTTCTAAACGCATTCTAAACCCGCCTTCCTCACCATTTACTCTGTTAGGCAGTAGTGCGCTATGCCTATCCTGTCTTGGCATGCATTGGCTATAGCTGTTTATGACAACAGGCGCCCTGGGGTCTCTGCCAGGTTGGGGAACACTGGTGGTGACACTTTGCATCCACTCTTATTTATCTAACGAAGGAAAACTCTTTATCTCCTCCTTTTCGTGTTATCATCTTTGTTATTTCACTTGTTCTTCGGGCCGCTACTTATGAAACTGCATATCCTTCATCTTTTTTTTTTTCATTCTGTTTTCGACGACGGGAGGGGGGGGGGGGAGGGGGGCGTGTCTAATGCGGGGAGAAGGGGGGTGGGGGCTGACACGAGACAGCTTGGGAAGGAATGCCTTGCTTGCTTGGGTCGCCAGAGTCGCGGGTTTGCTTTGGCACCGCGGTTCGACTCCGGCCCGAGGTGTCATGAGGCGCTGAGGCAGATTAGTCATCGGTTGCTTGACTTTGGGAGGCGGGGAGTGACGTGGAGTTTCCCGTGTTTTGATTTTAGGAGTTGGTGGGGGGAGTGGGGAGTGTTGGCGGGTTCTCAAGGGTTCGCGGGAAAGGGTTGTAGGGCTGGACACGCGGATATGCTTCCTTGGTGACAGAAGGTTCGCTGGGGGTTCACGAGAGGTTCATTTGGGGTTCGGTAGGGGTGGTGAAAGGTTGTACAGGGTAAGTGAGGAGTGGAGCGGTAAGACAAGAAAGGGTTGTGTATGTGTGTTGTGTGTGTGTGTGGTGTGTGTGTGTTGTGTGTGTTGTGTGTGTGTGTGTGTGTGTGCGTGTGGTGTGCGTGCGTGTGCGTGTGTGTGTTGTGTGTGTGTGTGTGATCGTGTGTTGGAGTTGAGCGTTTACTTGTATATTTGTGTATGTGTTCGTGTAAGAGGGAGAGGAAAAGAGAGAATGGAAAGTATCATTTTTATTTATTTTATACATAAAAAAATCATCGGTATTCATCATTCAAAAGAACGATAAAAATAATATCTACAGCCTATGACACGATAGATTTTGACACCCGCGTTACCATGATGGTGCAACACCTCGGAAAAACGCATCAAAACTTAACTCACTTAGTTATAAAACGACAAGATCACGGCGAATTTTGA